AACACATGATATCATTTCTTGAGTGATTGCAATGCAGTCGTTACTTCTGTAATTCAATACTTGTTTTCATTTTTTTTTCACAATTTTAAAGTTCCTATTTCTATAAAGTAATCAAAAGTGAGGCGAAAGAAATAGAAAACAAATTGACAATAGCATTGCAAAAACGAAAAACAACGAAAAGACAAAACCAAACCCCATCAAAAACCGGGTGTGATCTCAGGTGGTCCAAAAGGGTAAGCAAATGTGACACTGATATTTTTAATACATTGAAGATTGGGACATTCATTATTGGTCGACCGTATTTCGACCTACTTGAGACATTTGTAAAACAGGTGTTTCTGTAATTTCATTCATCAGATACAGGTATACCCATGAATCTTTTGTACATCCAAAATATAATTCCTTAAAAAGATCGTAAAATGGTCCAAAATGAATAAAATAAAAAACTACTCCAAGGTAAACTTTTTCCTGGTATTGCTTTATCTCAATCGATTTATGACTTTTGAACACCGGTATACTACTGTTGCCTTTATAGTGCAATATCATTTTAAATACAATGATACCGCAATGTCAGTACAATTACACTATCAATTATCTGAACATTAATGATAAAAATCATATCATAGACGTGCACCTCACATTTGTATTCCAGGTATTTGGAAAGCAACCTGGACTAATACTGAACAAATTAAAATTTTCATCTTCTAAACACTAGAAACTGAAATAATGCAAGTATCTTTCCAAGGGAAGAAAACCATTGGAACTTCTATAGACATTGCATTTTATTTACATTTAGCATAAGCTAGTTCATGTCAAAGAAATTCTCTCCGAAAGATAAACATTGCATCAACTTGACTTTACACAATTCAATGTGGTAGGTTGCACGTGTACCTCACATTTGTTTACCAGTTACTTTTAAATCAACCGAACAAACAACATGTTTCGTCAACTGAACACTAGAAACTAACCAATCCAATTGTCCTTTCAATGGAACATTTTTGTTAAATAACAATGCGTGCTATATTTACTTATGAAAGAGATGCCAATACGTACAACACATGTTTATTCTAACGCCATCATAAGATACGCTCGATACCAAAAATTCGGGAAAACAAAACCGAATAAGGCCTACATAGAACAATCAAACGCATCACGACTACACAAGGGATATGAATTCCGTGGTGATTGCAATACAATCATTACAGGTTGCTCTTCTGTAAATATAGACAATGCAATTTCCCATAGGAACTCCCTTTGCGGCTAAATCTGTGCCACTTTTACTATAGAGTTTCGTAAAAATTATATCCTAGAATGGAAAGTTGATATGCACTTCTTTTTTAATCAAAGGTCAAAACATAGGGCTGTGCGGCATATTTTCATCATTTATATGCCCCGAACTTCTAAGAGTTTAAACTTATACTAAAATTCTGTACTACCCATACCTTCAATTTGGGTATTCTTCAGAATTCATTTTTCACCGATACCATGTGCTTTTATACTAGTAACATTCCCAAGTTATTTCTCTATGAGATGAAACATAGAGATCATATCTGGGAACCAGTACGTTAACAAAACAAAATATCTATGAATATTATATATCTCCCCAAAAGAGGCGTGGCTTGTGAAACATCTGTATTTACAAATTGCAACCTATCCAGTAACTTTTATAATTCAATTCTTTTTTATATGTTTTGATTTGAGAATTCACTGTTGCATCATTCGTCGCATAAGAAGATTTCATCAAAGTATATCAATTCCAATAATCAACTCAGCCTTTAAGAGTTCCAGAGATAATCCCTATTTTTTCTGAGTTTTGTGTGTTGTTCAGTCTTTAGTTTTTGTAGGTTATTTTTTGTCTTTTCGTTTTTTTTTGTTTTTTTTTTTTTCCATCATTTTGTTCATGTCACTATTCACATAGGATTAACAGTATCAAGATTCATAATTCATATTTCTATTAAAATTTTCATGAAATTAAACACATTCTGGTGATTGTTTATTATTTCCTAAAACTGATCAAGAGTGTTGATAGAGAAAACTACACAAAGACAAGTGAATGATTTCAATAGACATTGATATTTTAATACATTGAAGTTTGACACATTTATTATCGGTTGACCGTATTTCAACCTTCTTGGAACATTTGAAAAACAGGCTTTTCTGGGATAACTTTCATCAAATACAGGTATACCCATGATTAGATTATAAATTTGTAAATCCAAAATATAATTACTTGAAAGAATAAATACCGAGAAAGGAAAAATAATAAACTACTATTGGAATTGTTATCTTATATACATTTACCACATGCTAGTTAATTTCAAAGACAATCTCTTCAAATGATAATCATTGCATCAACTTGAGCAAACTGTCATATTCCTTTCTTAACACAATTCAAACTGATGCACCCCACACTTGTGTGCCAGTTATTTTGAAAGCAGCCTAGTCTGTTTCTGAACAAATACAAAGTTTTATCTTCTGAAAACTAGAAACTAAAACAATGCAATTGTCTTTCCAATGGAAGAAACAATTCGAACTACTATAGACATTTTGCTTAATTTAAATTTTACATATGCTGGTTAATTTCAAAGAAAATCTCCCCGAAGGATAACCATTGCATCAACTTGAGACTTACTATCATATTTCTGACTTAACACAATTCAGTGTGGTGGTTTGATCCAGATTTTACGCGTTAAACACGTGTACCTCACATGTGTATGTCAGTTATTTTGAAATCAACTGAACAAACAAGAAGTTTCATCTACTGAACACAAGAAACTAACCAATCCAATGATCTTTTCAATGGAAAATTTTTGTTGAATGACAATGCTTGCTATATTAACTTGTGAAAGACATGCCAATACGCACAAGACACGTTTTTTAAAACGTCATCATACGCCAAAATGTCGGAAAGACAAAAACATACAACATTAAAGATAAACAAAACCAAATAAGGCCAAAATAGAACAATCAAACTCATCACGAGTAAACAAATGATACGGGTGCCACATGTGGAGCAGGATCTGATTACCCATCCGGAGCACCTGAGATCAACCCTAGTTTTTGGTGGGGTTCGTGTGGTTAGTCTTTAGTTTTCTATGTTGTGTCATCTGTACTTTTATTTGTCTGTTTGTCTTTTTATTTTTGGCCATGGCGTTGTCAGTTTGTTTTCGATCTATGAGTTTGACTGTCCCTCTGGTATCTTTCGTCCCTCTTTTCCATCATAACTTTTGTAATTAAATACTTGTTATGTTTTGTTATAAAAGTTCTTTTTTAAATTTGAGGATTCACTGTTACATTAAATATCGCATAAGAAGATTTCGTCAAAGTATATCAATTCCAATGGTCCTCTCAGCCCTCCGGAGTACCAGAGATCACCGCCGGTTTTTTGTGGGTTTCTTGTATTGTTCAGACTTTAGGTTTTTCTAATGTAATGTTTCGTAGACTGTCGTTTGTCTTTCGTCGTTTTTCATTTTTTTGCCATGATTTTGTCGGTCTCTCTTTGACTTTTGAATTTTGATTTTCCTTTTGGTATCTTTTGTCTATTTTCTAAGTGTTTATTGAACAACTTACAAAGAAAAACGGCAAAAACATAATCAAGGTCGAGCCTTTCGTTTCGTAATTAATAAATATAGTAAATATTTGGCAATAAAAAGCAATGTATAATGAGTATCATTTTCAATTTTTGTACATTTTCATGTAAAAAAGATCAAAAATGGCCATAGATTTCCGAATGCAAAGATTAGATTTAATTGCACAATTTATAGATAGTGAACTTAAACCAGCATCAAAATAAAAAGTAAAAAATATTGACCAACGTTACTGATGAAAACAATCTGACTATCCAGCTAAAATGTCTTCTTTTCTGACGTAGTATTAATGTATTTCTAATCAACATGTTACTATTCAGATAGGATTAACAGTATCCAGATTCAATGTTGTTCATATTTCAATTAAAATGTTCACGAAAATAAACACATGTTGATGATTGTATATTTTTTTACTAAAACAGGATGAAGCGTGATGACAAAATAAACTAGAACAGACACGTGAATGATTTCAGGTGACACGGTAGTATTTACATTCCGGAATTTAGGTTGCTCTTTTGTGTACCCTACTTAAGCCAATGTATCTGAACAGTGTGATTGGACAAAAAATTCAGTATCTACTGAACATACTTTTCCAAACTGAGGAATGAATCAGGTGTAGAAAAATATGAAATAATTTTACATGCAGGTGAAAATGATTTTTTGAAATTTTTTTGAAATTTTGTATTCACTGCATGATAAAAGACCTAAAAGCACTAGTGGCCTTAGGTTTCTAAAAATAGCAAAAAAAGTAAACGGTCATCATACATATTCAAATTAATTTCTGAATATAATATTGAAAGTTCTTCAGTTAACTGTATATGTAGAATTTTGGGCAGCGTTAGAAAGTGGGGAAAATTCTAAAAAGGCTACCATTATCCCTATATATATATATGGGCCAGGAAATACTACCGTGCCACCTTCAATAGCTGTGTTTACTTTTTTTATACTTATATCACATCAATTCATCAATGTAGTAGGTCTAGGAGCTTTGGGTTTTGACTTTATCGGTATTAATATTCTTTTTTCATTTAATAGTTAAATGCAAATAAATACATATTTTGAGCCAGCTATAAACACGCATGATCCTACGTATTGTCGATGCTATTATTTTGGCACTGAACAAGGTCATACATTTAGTATTACGTTTTTGCATACCATACTTTACAGAAGAAACTGGTGAATATTTTAATCTGAGCAGCTATTTATTAGCATGGTCTTACCCTAGTTTTCAGTACCTACTAGTACTCTTTAATCGGCATTTTGTAGTCTTTTGTATTCTTGTTAGTTTTTGGTTTTGCTTAGTAACGACTGATTTTTACAAGTTGTGCTAACGGTGTACTTTGGTATTTTGCTAACTACCGAACTGTTGAGTAAAGTCATTTTCAACTAGTATTACAGCTATATCAGTGTACTCTATATTTTGTTCAGTGCCGCAGTTGTCCTTGGTTGCCGTCTACAGATACTTGTAGTTGTTAATGTTCTTGTCCTTGGTTGTCGTCTACAGTTACTTGTAGTTGTAAATGTTCTTTTCCTTGGTTGCCGTCTACAGATACTTGTAGTTGTTAATGTTCTTGTCCTTGGTTGTCGTCTACAGTTACTTGTAGTTGTTAATGTTCTTGTCCTTGGTTGTCGTCTACAGTTACTTGTAGTTGTTAATGTTCTTGTCCTTGGTTGTCGTCTACAGTTACTTGTAGTTGTTAATGTTCTTGTCCTTGGTTGTCGTCTACAGTTACTTGTAGTTGTTAATGTTCTTGTCCTTGGTTGTCGTCTACAGTTACTTGTAGTTGTTAATGTTCTTGTCCTTGGTTGTCGTCTACAGTTACTTGTAGTTGTTAATGTTCTTGTCCTTGGTTGCCGTCTACAGTTACTTGTAGTTGTTAAGATTCTTGTTCTTGGTTGCCGTCTACAGTTACTTGTAGTTGTTAATGTTCTTTTCCTTGGTTGCCGTCTACAGTTACTTAAAGTTGTTAATGTTCTTGTTCTTGGTTGCCGTCTACAGTTACTTGTAGTTGTTAATGTTCTTTTCCTTGGTTGCCGTCTACGGTTACTTGTAGTTGTTAATGTTCTTGTCCTTGGTTGCCGTCTACGGTTACTTGTAGTTGTTAATGTTCTTGTCCTTGGTTGCCGTCTACAGTTACTTGTAGTTGTTAATGTTCTTGTTCTTGGTTGCCGTCTACAGTTACTTGTAGTTGTTAATGTTCTTTTCCTTGGTTGCCGTCTACGGTTACTTGTAGTTGTTAATGTTCTTGTCCTTGGTTGCCGTCTACGGTTACTTGTAGTTGTTAATGTTCTTGTCCTTGGTTGCCGTCTACGGTTACTTGTAGTTGTTAATGTTCTTGTTCTTGGTTGCCGTCTACGGTTACTTGTAGTTGTTAATGTTCTTGTCCTTTGATCTTTTGGGGAATAAACCAAACTAAGCTAAAATGTTGTCGATCTAAACGTCTAGAATTTTGATGATATTGTCTTTCCAAAAGTCCTTAATTATCAACTTTGCCTGAGTGATTGCAATGCAGTCATTTCTTTTGTAATTCAATACTTGTTATTTTTTGTTATATAAAATTTTGAACTGAGTGATTCGTTGTTCCATCATTCATCGCATAAGAAGATTCCATCAAAGTATATCAATTACAGTCGCCTGCTAACCCTTCCGAATTACCAGAGATCCCCCTCCCGTTTTTTTTTTGTGGGTTTAACGTTTGTTGATGTGGTTCATAAGTGTTTCTCGTTTCTCGTTTTTTATATAGATTAGACCGTTGGTTTTCCCGTTTGAATGGTTTTACACTAGTAATCTTTTGGAGCCCTTTATAGCTTACTGTTCGGTGTGAGCCAAGGCTCCGTGTTGAAGACCGTACTGTGACCTATAATGGTTTACTTTTATAAATTTTGACTTGGATGGAGAGTTGTCTCATTGGCACTCATACCACATCTTCTTATATCTATTTAATGTGTTGTTTTGTCTTTAGGTTTTAATGTAATGTTTTGTTTTGTTGACTCGCACTATTCTACTACTTTCAGTGAAGCGTGAAATCGGAGTCAAACTCCCATTTAGCATAACATTTAGATTATTATACTTAACATTTAAATACCTGATGTTGATTGGTTAATACGAGGGAGACATTTTACTCTATCCCGTGGTTCAGCGGATAACAATTTTGTGAATGTCACCGTCTCGTGCAGACCAATGAAAAATCGATAATTTAAAAGAAGATGAATTGAATATACATCACAATGTTCCAGTTCTACGTTTTGGCAGCAGGTATTTCTCCTAGAATACCAAGATTAAAAAATACATCTTGCTTCACTTTTGTTACTTTTTTAATGAATGTAACGTTGTTACGTACATGTACTTTCATTTTTTAAATTTAAAAGGCAATATTCTAATGACAGAAATTCAGTATAATAAATTAAATAACACATAGCTGAGAAGGGGGTAGAGCAGATTATTATCCCTCGAAAAATCATTGTCAACAGTCAAGCTGGCTTCGCCTCGGTTGAAAATGTTTCTCGGGGTAACAATCAGCCCTATCATTCTCTCAGCTATGCGTTATTGCTTCGCACCACGGTGCGGAGCTATTAGTTTCAGTCTATAAACACACTATCTTGAAATAATTACTTATACTCATATATAGATTCTGATTGGTTGCTTTATTATGCGGCTGAGATACAGCAACAGCTATTGGCTTAAATGAGATAAAGAATTACAGACTTTTCTCGTCTCAGGATGAGACATCAAATGCCGGAAAATTAACTAAATAAATTCATTAATTCATGTTCGTTTTATTATGCATATATTGCACACTGAAATTCAATATTGAAATATCAATTATTAATACGTGTTTATTTGCTTTGTTAATCTGCAATATGCACGATTTGTTTTGCTAAACAACGTTCCAATACAATGTTTACAAAAATTCATTATCTGTATTTTATAACTTCTGCCAACCTAGACACAACTCCAGAGTCGTGTCCATCTGTAAATGTTTTAATTTTCAACAAGTAAAGTGAACAAAACTTTAAAAGCATGGGTGTATAACGCACACTCATAAAGTAGAACAACATCATTTTCACTGAAACTAAATATTTATTGCTGTTTACAATTATATGTTATTGCTTCGCATTGCAAGCTTTATGGTAAATCGATAAAAGTGTGTCAGAAATCATATCTGATATTCTTCCTCAGTCATAAGTAACCATCCATCATTACCGGACTGAACACAGAAATAACACGACGGATGTCGTAAACGGTGAGAATGCTTACCCTTCCGGAGCACCTGATTTCACTTCCGGTTTTTAGTGGAGTTAGTGTTGTTTCTTATTTATTTTAACTGTTGTAAATATCTTTTGGTTGTACAAGTCTTTGTTTACTCCTTGGTTTTGATTGTTATTGTCTTCACCACTCGAAATCGTGTTACTCTTAATCAACATACCTAAACATTCATATATATCTAAATATATTATATACATTTTTTTGTACATAACTAGAAATCAAAATCGCAAGTCAATGACCAGCTGAAAGAACTAGAAAACCACACTCCACGAAAACACATTGACAACTAAACACTGAACAGCCAGTTTAAAATTTCAGAAAAGTTCATCTTAATATATATATGCAAAAATTGATATTCCAAGTCTAAGTCATCCATTTTATATCAATCAATATCTAAAAATACGACATTTCCAATACTAAATCAACAACCACATGCACACATATTACCTTAAATTAGGATAGAGTGAAGCAGTCCACAGCTTTTTAGAAAGCTCAAACTTGTTTGTATTATGTTTATATCATATGTACATTTGTATTAAGTTTCAAGTTGATGTGATCAGAACTTAATGGTTAACTATCTCGACCAAAAAATATAATCCAATATGGGACAGACGAACGGACGGACGCACAGACCGGAATCTAGAATACACCTCTACTTTTGTATTAGGAATAAAAATATATAATTTACCGCTACTTATTTTCGAGAAATATTATACTCTTATTTGCATTATAACCTTTTCCGGTATTTTTAATGTTTGTTTAAAACACGAACCCCATTATTTGATTTTTTATATATCTAATTTAACTTGAAAAGTGAGAAAAAAAACATTGTACCAACAAGTCTGCTTTATTTCAACATCGCCTTGAAACTAGACAATCAAAATCTCAGAAAATTATTCAAATCTGCCATCAACTCCAAATTCGTCAATTGGAAAAAGATAGTAACAAAGAAAACAATGGAAAAATAAAAAAAAAGTTGGATTTGAAACCAAACTGCATTCCATATAAATTGATATGAAATTGTATCCATGTTTCAGTTGTACATTTGTTGAAATTATACACGAAATTCGCAGTTTTACCCATTATTTAATTAATATTTGCATATTTGTCAGTGCGGATTTTATTAATAATTTCCCTCGTGTAAATTTTATTACCTTAATGCCATTTTATTAGTTTTCAATTAAGACCGTAATGAGCTTGACACAGCCAACTTTGTATTATATCCTATGCTCTGAGTAGGGAATAGTTGTTTCAATCACGTGACAGTGCGTAACGTGAAACCTGCTGTGCAATTTAAAACTGCACTTTCAGTCTTGTAAACAAGTTCTTCGGAAAGAGATTTCCGCTTTTGTTTGTGAACCATGGATGATTTTATTCCATAAAACAGTTATTTTGATAGCTTCTCTGGTTGGGTACACTCTTTTGTCTCCGGCGAAAAATCAGTACATTACGCTTTATTTGACCTTTGTAACATTAACAAATAAACTTTGTTTTCTAAGGTCATATAACTATGTTCAAAGAGAATCTGTCAATTATTAATTTGTTAATGAAAAATGTATTTTTGTAAAGTTTTAGAATGAGGCTATATCGAGTATAATTAAGGAACTGCAATAAAAATAGGATTGTCATTTATAAGCCGAAGTTTTGATATGTGCGTAAGACTAATCAAAGATCTACATTCAGTAAATTTATTGCATTAAACTTTATTGCCTTTAACTCGAAAAGAAGATCTAATATTAGTATTAACTAGCTACCATAACGGATCATAACGAATAAATGACAACAAAGAACATATCATGTAAAATAAAAGATTAATTATCTTTCATCCAATTCCGAAGTTTAAATCTAATAACAGACCTTAACTTTTAAAATAGAAAGTAATATGTATATATAGAAATTAAGTCATGTATATATAGTACACCATATGTGCCTGTAAAATATTTACGCCTCTGGCGGAAAAGTACGATCATACTAATGAACAATTCGGCATGAATTGGAAGCATATTTACCGATAAGGACAAACAAAGTGGTCTGATCTCAATTTTAAGCTGATGAGGAGTTAAGCTTTACTCAACGTAGAGACTGAAGAAGTGCCGAAAGGACTGTAAATGGAATATCAGAAAGACTGAGACAACACGCAGGGCAATCTAGTAATACTTAACCACAAAACATATTCACTAGTAAATAAAACTATACTTTAAATTTATGAGGCGCCGTTTTACTATTTATTACCTATTTTCTGATATCAAAAAATGATTTTCTGATATCAAAAATTCTATTTTTTGATATCAGAAAATCGTTTTCTTGATATCAAGAAATAAAGAATATTTTCTGATATCAAAAATTCGAATTCCTGATATCAAAAATTCATTTTTTGATATCAGGAAATAGATTTTTTGATATCAGAAATTCGAATTTTTGATATCAGAAAATATTTTTGATTTTTTTATATCAAGAAATAGATTTTGTGATATCAAAAAATGATTTTGTGATATCAAGAATTCGAATTCCTGATATCAAAAAATGATTTTTTGATATCAGAAAATAAGAAATAAAAGAATGATGGCTCCCTGTGTGTCATTTGAAACATTCAGGCTCACCAATGAGGCCAACCATCAGGAAATATCTGAAATAATGTTTTCGGTAGACCAATTGTTTTATAGTGTGGAGTACCACTATACACGGTATTGGTCATTATATTGATGACACATTGTGTCCCTTGTTACAAAAACAAAATGCTTATACACTTCAAGTTTTATAAACATGAATAAGACTTCAAAGTCTCCGGAAAACTGCTATTTAATAACAATATTTGAAAAAAATATTTACATTTATCTTCAGTTTGATCAAACTTATTACGAAATTCAGGACACATGCACTTAAAGACAATATATGGAAGATTTTTTTTAAATTATTCCTAAATAAAACATATTTACTCTCTTGTGTCGTACAATCCGAATTGGCGGGATATGTCGACCTAAGAATTTACTACATACTGGAAAATGTTTTCAAGATTTAGATACGATTGCTCGATAATATATTCAGGTTCAACTGGCGATATACACGATCTTTTCACCTTATATATCTAATACAATGCATAAACAAGTCTAAATTGAAAACAACGTTCAAACCTATGATTGCGTTGGATAAAAATCGCAATTTGTATACCGGTGCATGCAAAACAAATTTCTTGGTAGAGGGGTCTAAATACAGCACAAACAACATTTTCTAAAAGATCAAAAAAGTGAAAAAGTATATTTTAACAAAACGCATTTGACTAACAGGTCGAACAACGGATGTTCTTAAACCCTGCTGACTGCCATTGGCGATTGCCAAATAAACGGATCACAAGATGTAACAAAATTGATCTATATTATTAATTTAATACCAAACAGAAAACAATAAACTTGCGGAAAAGATGGTATACCGCAAACATGAGGTGCAAAAATTTGTACACCATATCCGGATTTCGACAATTAATGTCTCTTCAGTGATGTTAGGAATCGAAACGGTATTTGGAAGACCATATAATTTACCTCAATTTAGGATAGACTCTTGAATTTTGAAGAGTCGAAATATATACCCTACTAAATTGTACTTACCACTTTTCTCAAAATGAAGTGAAAATTTCTTGACAATCCTTTCAATATAAAGACAAACTTTTCCAAAATGAAGGTATTTTAGAGATAAAAACGTACATCCAACCTACTAAAACGTTTCATTACTTCACAGAAAAAGCTCATATGCATTTAAAAGGTTTATGGAAGACGCGGTTCATAAGAAATACTAGCAGTCTCGTAAAAAGACGAAATAGACAAATCTTTTGAAAATACAAGACATGCATTTTTTTTATGTTGTTGTTGGCTTTGAACTAGTTGTCGCTATCACATCTGTAATTTGCGTCTTTTTGTTGTTGTTACCCTGCCACGTTTGTTCGTACACTATGTTGTAATGTTGCGGGATTAGACATGTTTTGTGAGATCTCAACCCTCCCCCTATACCTCTAGCCAATGTAGAATAAAGAAAAACATAGCAATACACACAGTAAAACTCAGTTTAAAAGAAGTCCGAGTCCGATGTCAGAAT